AAGATATGGAGGTAAGTATCTAGGAACAATTTGACACTCTAAGGAATATTTAAGGACGTAGTGGGTAGCAACTTCGATGGTAAATTTAGCGTTCTACTCAAAGGTGGTCGTTTGAAGCAGGCAACTGATTAGGGTTAAACACCGATTCCTAAAGACCATTCAAGACAATAACAAGACGAAAGAAATAACAATATTATTTCGTGGCAAATTGAAAACCAATCAATGTGCATAGTGTCCGTCTGCAGATTTTCTTGATGATTTTGCTATCCTTCCATGCTACACGTGTTGCATACGGAGAATATTGGAGAATGTTGACATCCGAAAAGAAAAGGGTTTGACCGCCTGTCTTTAGAGTTTGCATTCCGAAGTCAACGCGATGATCCGTACTTTTTTGGACAGGATTATTTGCTGCGCAGTTATTAGAAGAACCATGAACGCTCGTTATTCTATGATGGTGTTCTATGATCAACGAACATGATTCAAGGATCCTCGAGTTCGCCCCCGAAGAAAGTTGCTTTAGTAAACCAAATACTCTGATGGCGCAGACACTTCTTTTATTTTGTTTGTGATTATTCCGCGGTCACAAACCGCCCAAAAACTGCGGGTTTCTCCCGGGAGACATGCTTCTCAGGAGGCGTCTGTTGGGTCTTGGATGCTCAAATCAAGAGTGCCTCAATTCTGTTGCGGTTAACATACGGAAGCTCCTAAAAACATCTGATTATGCGGCCAAAATGTTTTCCAATTTGTCTGCTTTATCGTTAAGCGCCAATGAAAATTCTTCTTTAAAAAGCCGAAAACCTTCACAGCCATAAACCAATTCCTGTGGTACCAATACGGTCATGAACACCGAACAGGAACCAGTTTCTTTGCCTTTACATGTTATAAATATGCTTTCATAGAGGTGCGAATATGTTGTGGAGTCTTCAGTGCACAGTTGGTTACTACTCCTTCCACATCCACATTATGGAGATGCACCCCAAACAAAACACCACAGATATGCTCATCCATGTGTCAAATGGGTCAAAATTAGCCACATAATTTAAATAAATCCGGCAATCTTGAAAGTTTGCTGTAGCACACCTCATCTCTGGAAGACTGCCAGCCCACCCATCACAGAACGTATAACCATCTGAAATGCACTGTCCTTATTGGGACATTTCACGTAGGGTCGTTTCGAGGAGCCACGTGAGTACTCGGCAGATCTCCACACTGTATCACACACCCATCGAACGCTTCTTTGGTTGACGTGAGGCCCGAAAAAAAGTAGGGAGTGAAGATGTAAACTTCTAGGAAAGAAGTGTTCACTGGATTGATCGAACGTTCTTCCACGTTGTCCCAAACTGTTTAGGCCGGTTACAAAGAGAAAAACGGCACATTGGGTTTAGATGTTAGCAGAAATTCACCCATCAGGAATAAGAAACTTTATTCGCTTAGAAAAAATCACTTAACTTCTCATTCATTGACTGATTAGTCAACACTGCGAAGTATTTTGAATGGATCTCCACTCTACGCCCATGAAATCTCTGGAATGACAGCTTGGTATAGGGTGGCTTCTTAAGATACTCTTCAGTGTGTGCTAACTCCGCGGGATAAACTGGCTACTCATAAGTAGTCAGCTCCTTGTCCCTGTTCACCACGATGGGTCAGATGAGATGTTACTTATGGATACTAACGAAAGTGAAAGGCGACAGTTAGGTACGATTGTTTTACCCCGTCGGTGTTCATCCTAGTATGTTACAAAAAATGGACCAGCAACTGTATGGTCTTCAGTTGAGTAGTATCTAACTAGAAGTAAGAATATTAAGGCAACAGCTCTTGCAAGATAAACAATAATAAGACCAAAAACACCATAGTACTAAGCTTTTTTGAAGCGAGCCCCACCTTTGCCGAATTCCGAGATGAATGTATTTTTTCGCTAGGTATTGGATGTAAAGACGCTTGTAAGTGATGTCTGATTCGTGCGAACCACCTGGGTTCGGTTTACAGTTGCTCTGTTGCGTTTTTGAATATCAAATTAGAACAAATTTAGCCTGGAAACATCAAAACAGAGAGATCCAGCTTGGTTCCAGATGGGTCTCTCGAAAAAACCAAATTAGTTTGAAAATGAGTGTATTTCGATAATTTCGTGCAATTCGGTCTCAAGTAGAACATAAGGTTGACGGACACTGAAGGACTGCACCTACCTGATAAGCCCCAAGAAGAGCGAAAACGGCCGTAGGCTGTCGAGGAGTTTTCAGCAACCTTATGTTTCGTACTGTCCATTTGCTTCCTTATAAGGCAAAATATCTAGGATAAATAATCATTGGTAAGCACTTCTCCAGAACAAGATATGGAGGTAAGTATTTAGGAACAATTTTACACCCTAAGGAATATGTAAGGACGTCTTGCTTAGCAACTTCGATGGTAAATTTAGCGTTCTACTCAAAGGTGGTCGTTTGAAGCAGGCAACTGATTAGGGTTAAACACCGATTCCTAAAGACCATTCAAGACAATAACAAGACGAAAGAAATAACAATATTATTTCGTGGCAAATTGAAAACCAATCAATGTGCATAGTGTCCGTCTGCAGATTTTCTTGATGATTTTGCTATCCTTCCATGCTACACGTGTTGCATACGGAGAATATTGGAGAATGTTGACATCCGAAAAGAAAAGGGTTTGACCGCCTGTCTTTAGAGTTTGCATTCCGAAGTCAACGCGATGATCCGTACTTTTTTGGACAGGATTATTTGCTGCGCAGTTATTAGAAGAACCATGAACGCTCGTTATCCTATGATGGTGTTCTATGATCAACGAACATGATTCAAGGATCCTCGAGTTCGCCCCCGAAGAAAGTTGCTTTAGTAAACCAAATACTCTGATGGCGCAGACACTTCTTTTATTTTGTTTGTGATTATTCCGCGGTCACAAACCGCCCAAAAACTGCGGGTTTCTCCCGGGAGACATGCTTCTCAGGAGGCGTCTGTTGGGTCTTGGATGCTCAAATCAAGAGTGCTTTAATTCTGTTGCGGTTAACATAAGGAAGCTTCTCAAAACATCTGATTATGCGGCCAAAATGTTTCCAATTTGTTTGCTTTATCGTTAAGCGCCAATGAAAATTCTTCTTTAAAAAGCCGAAAACCTTCACAGCCATAAACCAATTCCTGTGGTACCAATACGGTCATGAACACCGAACAGGAACCAGTTTCTTTGCCTTTACATGTTATAAATATGCTTTCATAGAGGTGCGAATATGTTGTGGAGTCTTCAGTGCACAGTTGGTTACTACTCCTTCCACATCCACATTATGGAGATGCACCCCAAACAAAACACCACAGATATGCTCATCCATGTGTCAAATGGGTCAAAATTAGCCACATAATTTAAATAAATCCGGCAATCTTGAAAGTTTGCTGTAGCACACCTCATCTCTGGAAGACTGCCAGCCCACCCATCACAGAACGTATAACCATCTGAAATGCACTGTCCTTATTGGGACATTTCACGTAGGGTCGTTTCGAGGAGCCACGTGAGTACTCGGCAGATCTCCACACTGTATCACACACCCATCGAACGCTTCTTTGGTTGACGTGAGGCCCGAAAAAAAGTAGGGAGTGAAGATGTAAACTTCTAGGAAAGAAGTGTTCACTGGATTGATCGAACGTTCTTCCACGTTGTCCCAAACTGTTTAGGCCGGTTACAAAGAGAAAAACGGCACATTGGGTTTAGATGTTAGCAGAAATTCACCCATCAGGAATAAGAAACTTTATTCGCTTAGAAAAAATCACTTAACTTCTCATTAATTGACTGATTAGTCAACACTGCGAAGTATTTTGAATGGATCTCCACTCTACGCCCATGAAATCTCTGGAATGACAGCTTGGTATAGGGTGGCTTCTTAAGATACTCTTCAGTGTGTGCTAACTCCGCGGGATAAACTGGCTACTCATAAGTAGTCAGCTCCTTGTCCCTGTTCACCACGATGGGTCAGATGAGATGTTACTTATGGATACTAACGAAAGTGAAAGGCGACAGTTAGGTACGATTGTTTTACCCCGTCGGTCTTCATCCTAGTATGTTACAAAAAATGGACCAGCAACTGTATGGTCTTCAGTTGAGTAGTATCTAACTAGAAGTAAGAATATTAAGGCAACAGCTCTTGCAAGATAAACAATAATAAGACCAAAAACACCATAGTACTAAGCTTTTTTGAAGCGAGCCCCACCTTTGCCGAATTCCGAGATGAATGTATTTTTTCGCTAGGTATTGGATGTAAAGACGCTTGTAAGTGATGTCTGATTCGTGCGAACCACCTGGGTTCGGTTTACAGTTGCTCTGTTGCGTTTTTGAATATCAAATTAGAACAAGTTTAGCCTGGAAACATCAAAACAGAGAGATCCAGCTTGGTTCCAGATGGGTCTCTCGAAAAAACCAAATTAGTTTGAAAATGAGTGTATTTCGATAATTTCGTGCAATTCGGTCTCAAGTAGAACATAAGGTTGACGGACACTGAAGGACTGCACCTACCTGATAAGCCCCAAGAAGAGCGAAAACGGCCGTAGGCTGTCGAGGAGTTTTCAGCAACCTTATGAGTAGTGCATTACAAAGATATACATGTATCTCGATATCTCGAATATCGTAGCGACTGAAATATGAGGCGGCCTGGTGCAGCACATTCAGTTGCCTGAGAACATCACAAATGAGAGATTCAGCTAGGTTCCAGGTGAGCCTCTCGGAAAACCAAATTGGTTTGTTTAGCTAAATTCGATCAGCCCCTTAAAGACGCACTTGCTCAAAACTTTTTCCAACATTTAAACGTCAGCCGATGAGACAGAACCTTCCTAGCTTACAGTGTCACTCTGTTGTCTATGGATGGACCAGGTTACTGAATGTCCGTTGCTCGTGTAAGGCAGCTGCCTTTAGCAGATGTTTTACTAAAACGCCGTCACTTTGATTATTTCCCACAGACTGCGAGCCAAGTACGCATCGGACAAAATCCGAAATGCGATTCACGCACCTGATAGCAAAGACGAGGCTGCCAGGTGAGTTGTCTGGTATGGAATATTTTTCTACATTTGTCTGACCTACAAACTGCCAAGTCGTTTTCATGACCACTCACTATAGATAGGTAATTAAGTCTTGTAACTTATGGGAAGAGAGAGTTCGGAATTTTTGATATACCGTCAATCCTTCAAAGATATTCTTTTCTGGGAAAGACAAGACCAGTCTTCGTCTGCGTGTGGCTTCCGCATGGTGGCAAATTTGTTCGATGACCTGGGCAATCACCGTGATTTTTATCTTAGGAAATTTTGTATTAACCACTACTCATTTGCCGCAGGAATACAGTACTATTAGTACGTGCACGTCACGCGGTTAGGTTTATCACTCCTGTCAAGTTTATGAGCATATGCAACCTCTCTACAAAGCCATTATCAGCAAACTCAACTGCGTAGGTCACTGCCGTCTTCCTGGATGAGGACCTCGAGACGGTCCGTATCAATGGTTGGAGATATTGTCAGCCATGGCCTTGTCGCGCCACCAATGGGGCTCGTGCATCCAAGCTGTTGCCTTCAATGCATAGCTCACTTCTCAATCCCACCCACTTAACAGCCCACTAATTTATCAGCTCCCGCCTCCAATGCGCAGCTATCTACCCCACATCCCCGAATCATCGGTGAACGAAAAACTGTGGCAGTTACAACCACTGTGCGGCAAGTACGCGGTTCTTACAGCTGACAATGTTGATGATGAGATAGCTAGTGTGTTCAGAACACTTGCGTGAGAAAACTTCAAATCTACCGTTGTTTCTAGCGGAGTAGACAAATGCTGCAAATGGGAATTTCTCGGCCAGTTTGGATAGAACCTTAAAAGTAGAATATCATAAACGAGAGGGATCAGTTGATTCTCTCGCAAAAACCTAATTGATTTGCAAATGAGTCTGTTTCTCGAAAACAGTCCAATAAGGTTGACGGAACCTCGGGGACTGCGCCCACCTGATGAACCCCAAGAAGACCGAAACCGGTCGTGGGCTGTTGAATAGTTTTCAGTAACCTTGTGAGTCGTTTCCTCTATGAAAACATTAAAAGATCTTCCGAAAAAATAAATTCCTATTGCAAATTGATATTCTTGCCTTTTTTAAAAGCTTGGTGGAATCTTTCACCCTTATTGTGTTTGAGGTCTATTTAGCCGACGTTTACCCAACTGAATCGTCCAGCTCACTGACACCTGCTTTGTGTTTTACAGTGGAATGGAAAAATGATTGTGGTTGCAATGTCTTGAATCATAAAAAATCAATAGTCCTCAAACATGTGCAACATAACTACTATGCTGTGGAGAGGTGAGGAACTGAAGGCTGGATGGTCAAATACTTGACTCATAGGTTGGTGGAATTTGTAAAGGTACACGTATGACCTATGTTCTGTCTTTCCCAAATCATATTACTACATATAACAGAATCTTCTAGAACAGGGTGAACGACAGTACCGTACAAATGCAAGCCGGCTCATATTTCACGATGACCCAGCCGATGAGCGACAGCTGGTCTCCGTTCGAGCGAGACGACAGTTGTCCACTATCGAAGTTGACGCATGAATGGCCACATGGAACCCAATATATGTAGGCAGAAAATGGGGACGATAAGTCTTGAAAACGTCTACACTAACTCCAGTTTCTTGTGTCGCTTCTCGGTTCACTAATGTCCTGCCACCCTCAACAGTACAAGCATTCTCAATCCGACTAGTTGACCTCGGGCGTGTGTCCCTGCCCTCTCCGTCTGTCCAGTATGCTTCAGTCAAACCTGACGCGGTTGTGTTTACACGTGATCGTGCCACAAATAGCCATCTAAGTGCGTGGGTATATGAACTACCAGACTAGTTGCGACGTTTGAATTCACACTACTCTGAGCTGACATAAGCTGCTTCTTGAGTCATGCATACTGGCATAACGAACAAGTGACAGATGGTAGATTTCAATTTGACCAGTAGATTAGGACCTGTGCAATATGAGCGTAATGATGGCTTTTGGAAATGAGGTGACATTTATCCAAACTAGGGCTGTCGGCATCCTCTTTTTCTCTCAGTTCTTTTCAAGTACTCACGAAGACGCTTTTTGTACAACTCTTGTTACCTCATGACCTTGTGAATTTCGTCCTTTTTTTGCAGAGAATTGGCATTTTTCTTTCCCGATTACGAACCACCCATTGTTACGGTTCGTCGTCCACGTGTACAAGTCACGGAGGATGACGTTGGTGAACCTCAGCTGTCCGCGGTATCATCCGGATTCGGTGAAGGAATACAACGTACGGTGGCCTTACTGCGTCCAAAAGCTTATTTCATGTACAAGGATTCCATCTTGGAGAAGATCAAAGAAGCTGGATTTGTGGTCGCGTCGCAAAAGGAGATAACCCTGAGCAAGGAACAGGCCGAGGACTATTATAAAGAACACAGAGGGGAGACGTACTTTGGAGAGCTCACTACAGTGATGTCAAGTGGACCTTGTCTTGCACTGTTACTTGCACGGCAGGTACTAATGAGGATGTGTTTTTACTTCTATAACAACAACTTCCAGCGCCTGACAAAACTTACTTTGCTATTCACTGGCAACGCAAACGAGTCCTTGGATCCCCTCAGTTTATGGTACTACCATCTGTTTACTCTCTGTGGGGAAATTTCTCGGCGCGGTAAAGCGAATCAAACAGATGGATGAGAATGAATCTTGGAGGGTGTCTAGTGGCAAACTTTTCATACGCGAGCTCACTTGGAAACGGGGAATATTTTTTCTTTAGGTTTTTTGTTTTGGATGAAGCCGAAGTTAGTTACACACGTGATCTTAATGCCAAACTCATTGTTCAATTTACTTTCTAATTAGTGTTCGGTCCTGCTGCCGGAACACGCTATTTGCGAGGTTACTGAGAGACCTCTGACAGGATTCTCCGCTTGCGGCTAATCAGGTAGACACAGTCCTCGACGTTCAGCTCTTCAAAATTTTACCCAACCCTTTTAGTGGTATCGGTTCACCCTCGTTTGAACGTTATTTGTCATTTTTGCTTTCAAAAAAGTGACCACCAATGAAAGTCAGGTTGTCGGAAATTCAAGTTCCCTGACAAAAGTATGGTTTGCACTTCAAATCTAAGAAGGTCGACACCAGTATCAGAAGCTAACACACTAAACCGGGTCATTTTTCATGGCAAGCTTAGGGTGAACAGACTTCCAGGATTTCCTTGAAGTTCCTAATTCACTAACGATAGCTCCAATGTTACACGGGATTCGTAGTCTGTCTAACGAGTAAACCCAAAACTTTGTGAGGAGGTCGGCACAACGATGAACTTACCAAGTGGAACCCAAGGTTGACGGAAACTCGGGGATCGCGCGCCTACCGGATGAGCCCCAAGAAGGGCAAAAACGGTCGTGGGTTGTCGAAGAGCTTTCAGCAACCTTTTGAGTACTTTCCTTTATGAATACTTACCAGGTACTTTTGGACTGACTGGGAGTCGTTTACAGGATCTGTAGAGCTCATTCACATCAGTCTCATTTGAACAGCCTTTCTCCGTCCCTGGCACAGTTATTCTCTTTTGTTCTCACCGAATTCGGGAGGCACTGGGCGTATGTTTCGCTCTTTTTAGAGTTCATCAGTAGTGCAAATCGCTGAGCGAGATGGGTTTTTGAAGACCGGACATCTAACAAGAGAGGCGATTGTGTCAATCAATCAATCAATCAATCAATTTATCAGCTATAAACCGTGTGCCAGTAGTGCATTGGTTCCAGCCAACACGATCACCCAGTAGTGCATGGTTCCAGCTAACACGATCACCAAAAAACAGGAGTGTGGGGCATGCGGCAAAGCTTCGGAGGCAGCGGCATTTTGAGGTTGTTCGGAATTTAGACAGTTACGCACTGAAGGCGATAGTTTTGATGCACGCGGCAAAGCCTCGGAGGCAGTGGCATTTTGAGGTTGTTCGGAAATTAGACAGTTACGCACTGAAGGCGATAGTTTTGATGCACGAGCGCCACTGACTGCGCGATCGGGCCGTTTCTGCCGTTGTCGTTAACCCCGAGGTGGTAGTTGCCCACCCGTAATAAGTTTATTGGTTGGTGTTTCCCTAATTCGTTGTCAGGTCATGCATTGTCCACCTCTCGGGCACTTTCACTTAGTACAGGACTGGGCAAAAAGAGCTCTGAAAGGCAGACGGACTTCTGGTGTGCAAAGTACATTTCCTTACCAGCGCAACCCATGAAGTGTGAATTATTCACGAACCGCAGGAGAGCTCCCTCTTCCTAAGACCATCTGGCCCACTTCAGAATAGCTAATCCGGTGTTCCCACCAGACATGACTTCGGAGAAATCGATGGTCAAACACTGACATCTTTCGTTCATCCTCTGTTCGGAGAGGCCATGTCTCTGATTCATAAAGAAGTATAGTCGACCGATGCATTGCAAAGTCCGCTCTTGACAGACAAACTAACGAGCGTGTTATAGCTACTCGACCAGCGCACACTGAATAAAGCTGAATCATCATGTGTAAAGGGGTGGATTTGATCACAAATGGGCCATGTTATTGGTTAACTGGACGCTTTGCACAATGACGCATTGACTGCCCTGGTTGTGTCGACCGATTGCTCCACCTCTTAGGACCTCCAAGTTACATAGCACCGCGGACCCTCAAATTCCGCTGTAAATTTTCTGATTAATTGCAGACGATTTCCTAAGGGTTGGACAGTTCACATCCACTTCTGGATTCATCGCGACACCATGTTCCGTCAGTATATTGGTTGATAGACGGAAGTCTCGAAGAATCTTAACCTGTTCGAGACAACATTTGTACACATATTGATGAACAAAGGGTTTTGCAGTTGTTTTGGAAGAGGGCTGTTATACAGCCAACTTGCTGATACTGTGAAATAACTTTTCAATCATGTACAGTTGTAACGCACCACTCATAAGGCTGCTGAAAATTCGCCGACAGCCTACGACCGGTTTCGCCATTTTTGGGGCTCATCAGGTAGGCGCAGTCCCCGGGTTTCCGTCAACCTTATG